AATGAATGTGTTTTATCCTGGTGAATATGTTGGTTACCTTGTTGATTCTGAAGGTGGTGATATATATGGAACATATCAGCCTACTTATACCTATGCAATCATTGTGCAAGAAGTAGAAAGAGAAGATGATGAAAGTCACAGTTTTCTAGGGAAGATTTACCAGATTGATATTGGATATAGTGAATACAAAATAGTGAGCTCCCTTGACTTGTACAAATTTTCCAGACCAGAGGAAAGTTCTCAAGGCAGGGATAGCACACCTTCTACCCCAACCAGTCCTACAGAATTTCCAGCACATGGACCAAGGGCAATTCCACCTATCTTCACTGGTAGAGACAGCCACAAAACAATGTCCTCAAAACACCACTCTCCCAAAAAGATAAAGTCAAACTCGTTGCCAGAAATATTAAGAGAAGTGACATCTGTCATTGAACAGGCTTGGAAGCTTCCAGAATCTGAAAGAAAAAAGATTATTAGGAGGCTGTATCTTAAATGGCATCCAGATAAAAATGCAGAGAATCTTGATATAGCCAATGAGGTTTTCAAACATTTACAGAATGAGATTAACAGGATGGAAAAACAGGCCTTTATGGATCAAAATATGGACAGAGCCTCAAGGAGACCATTTTCATCTTCTGCTTCTCGATTTCAGTCAGATAAATTTTCATTTCAGAGATTTTACACTTCATGGAATCAGGAAGCAACAAGCCACAAATCTGAAAGGCAACAGTACAAAGAGAAGTGTCCCTCCTCCACAGGGCCGTCTTACTCCCAGCGCTTTTTTGTCCCACCTACATTCAGGTCCGTTGGCAATCCCGTGGAGGCACGTCGATGGCTTAGGCAGGCCCGAGCCAACTTCTCAGCTGCACGAAATGACCTTCACAAAAATGCCAATGAATGGGTGTGCTTTAAGTGCTACCTTTCTACTAAACTAGCCTTGATTGCAGCTGACTACGCTGTGAAGGGCAAGTCAGACAAAGACATAAAACCAGCAGCTCTTGCACAAAAAATAGAGGAGTACAGTCAGCAACTTGAAGGACTTTCAAATGACGTTCAGACATTGGAGGCTTATGGAGTAGATAGCTTAAAAACTAGGTATCCTGACTTACTTCCTTTTCCACAGATTCCCAATGATAGGTTTACTTCAGAAGTTGCTATGAGAGTGATGGAATGTACGGCTTGTATCATAATAAAACTTGAAAACTTCATACAACAAAAAGTATAAATGATTTGAAGAGGCTAGGGGACTGTTTTGTCAAGACTTTAGGTGTTTCATGTGGTGGGATACAAATGCAATTGTACAGATTATGGAATGTTCAAGAGGTTAAATGGTGCCAAGCAGTTTAGAAGTGTAGTACGCAAAGGTGGATGGTACAGAGGTACGTAGAACTGAAATTAAATGGGATTTTTTTCTTAACTGAGCCTGCTGTTAAGCAAACTGTAAAACCTGAATATTTTTTAGAATTTGCAAGGAAATTGAGCTGCAAAAATTAGATGTATGCACAACATTGTGATTAATTGGCATATTATTGAACTGCACTTTATATAACCAAAGCTTAGCTTTCTGTTAGATGAGGCCTGTAATTATAACTCCTTATTAGATGTATTTCATTTAATGTGATGTTTCTGAAAGGGTAATGTCAGTTTTCAATGTACTTGTCTTTAAGACTGGACATACAATGAAATGGGAAATGGAGTGGAAGTTAAAATAACTTTGGAGATATTGCTCCGAAGCATATCTGTATTCTTTTGCATTCTGTGGACATTCATGTCACTCATAGTAGTACTCTTATCAGCTGGATCTGATTATAAATTTGCTGCAGCATCACATTGTAAACATTTAAAGGATAGTTTAGTACCTGTAAACTGGTACAGTTATTTTAATGCTGAATAATGATACTTGATTTAACATGCCACGTCATGTCATGCATTGATTGCATTTACCTTATTATAAAATAATGAAGTATTTAATTTACTTTTTTTTTAGAGCCTATCAGGTTTTGTTTAATGATAAAGCATGTGGATGATATAAAATCTGTGAACATTATTATATGGTGTTTTATGATTTTTTTTGGAACACCAAAACTCAGTTTTCAGATGCCTAAATGCTTGAGTTCCTTTTTTTTGCCCCTTGTGTGTGCCTTTGTTGTGTGTACATATATATATATATATTTTTCCACAGACATTGGTAATAGTACAGTTCAGTAACTCATTTTTGGTGTACACAAAGCACTGTTTTTTGTTACATGTTTAAAGGTGCTGCAATGTAATGCTGGTTTTATTTTGTTATTCACTACAGCCCTCAAGAAATCTGGTTATTAGTTCCCACTTTTTCTTTTATGGTTTGTAATACTTTTGGTAATGTCATGCAGTATGTTCAACATTAGCTTTTTGTAAAAAGAAAAATTAAAAATAAAAAATGGAAGGATAATGCTAAATAGAAAGATTTTTCTTTGCTGGATCAGCCACATTAAACATAAATGTCAGACATTTTCCAGTGGCATGCTGTTACATTTGTCTACTTGACAGCACAGTGAAACTGCAATTTAACTTACTGAATACAAAGAAAATAACAGCAAGCTTGCAGGGCTGATACAGCTGTGATAGTATTGTAACACAAAAATTAAAAATCATGATGAGGTCTGCCTCAGTTTTGAGTAAATTATAAAGTCCTTGTTCTCAAAGAAATGTGACATTTGGAAAATGATACAGCTTCTGATTGTGGAGCCCTATTATTATTATTATTTCTGCTATTAAATTAAGTGCCATACATTTAATAAAGAAAAACGCAAACATATTTCAGTCCGATGTGTTTTGGTTTTATAATGTAAGCTAACTTTACCTATTATTTGAAGCTTTTATATAGGTAAATACACAATATTTTTTTTAATTAATTCTAAATAATTGTACAAATATTAAAATACTATTGAAAAGGAAACTTTTTTTTTGCATTGACAAATGTTTGCAGTTTTCTCAAAGAAATTGTACATTTTGCTGATGTTTTGCAATAAATAGCATGTAAGTAAAACACAAATCTTGGTGTGCCATGAAATAAATCAGTTTAGTTAATTCCCTATGTTTTTAAAATAGATTTCTTTGTGGTTTTTGCTTTGTGCATTAAGTCAGATGAACAGCATTCAGGGTAAGCAAAGTACTTGAAAAGGAAACAGTTCTCATGCTTTTCATTTTAAATGGAGCTAAAACATAAGGTCTCATGGAAGCATGCAAAAGTGGAGCACCACGAACACTTTCCTGTTTTTACATGAGCTCTTGAGGAAGAAAATCTTCTCAGTATATAACTGTGTTGTATAAACAACTTATGTTGCCTTACTAGTATTATTATTATGAACTGTTAAAATGGCTGTGTAGAACCACTAAACGATTCTGTTATAATTTTTATTTTGTTTATTTTGTATATACTGTTGAGCACTGACACTGAGAAAGAAAAAGGTGCCAGTTCTTAGGAAGCTAATGATCTGAAGCAATTTTAAACTGAGCCAAGCTGAGAAAGAAAACTTGAATGACACTGAAAAAGTAATTAATTCTGTTATTCTTGAATTGAAACTAACAATAAAATTTACATTTGGCAGCAGAGAGATGGGCAAGAGTGGTGTCTCAGTTGGAAGGCTCTTAGTTTTTTATTTGCTTAACTCACTGTCACAGCTAGCCTAAATAAAGAGACTTTGTGAGACCAGGAAACCATATTCTGAGGGAACATGATTTTTAAAGTGCTATTTAATTTCTGATTAAAAGTAAAAACAAATAAATAAAATGCTTAATTTATTCTTCCTTTTGGCTCAGCTGGAAGATTTGGCAATGTCAGATATGGAAGCTTAGAACAGTTAGGATGTGATGATTCTGTAGAAAGGGTATGAAGAAGTAAATGTTAGAAAGAAAGTTCCATAAAAATAGATTTAACAAGTAATTTTGCATGTTAAATGAGTTCTCATTGGAGAAAATGTCTTTTCATTCAGGTCTATCTCCTACCTTCCACAGGTAGCAGCAGTTTATCTAGGAAAAGCAGCTTCAGTTCTTGTCTCCCAAAATTACAGTTGAGGAGTTTAGCAAAAAGTCAGTGGTATAGGAAACTGATTTAACCATACATTGGACAGCTTAAATCTAAGGAACTGCAGCTGGAATAAGCCTTGACAGGCTTGTTACTATCTTATGCTTTAAAAACTTTTCTCTCAAACAATGGCATATACAGCTATTCTAAAAAGCACAGGACACTTGCCTCAGCAATTAGTGACAAGAAAAATACCTTTTTATTTCTTTTTTTTTTTTTTAAGGAAATAGATTTTTGTGTAGCTGACTATCAGAAGAAAAATAAATGTTTTAGTCATGTAAAAATTGCAATTTTGAGATATTTGTACTCAAATCATTATCAGTGAAGTTACTGTAATGATTTGTAAAATAGGATTTAAAATTGAAGGATTGGTATACTTGGATTTCTTTAAATAAAGGTGTAATTAAATCTATTGTAATTTCTCCCATTAAAGTAGAGGAGGGTAGTACCAACTTTGAGATTTTCTGTTGCTGATCTAAACTCTTTGAGAAAGGCTGGATTGGTCTTGGGGAACAAAGACAGAATGAATAGTTAAAAAATAACTAAACTTGGCAGCCAAAGTAAATGTTTTCATTTGAAGAAGACACACATTTTTTCATGTGAAGGGATTTGTCAATGAATTTTTAATCAAAACTGTTTATCTTTTCTTTGGTTTGTTTTCTGGATGATTAAATTCAGTAGCACTACCATAATTTCTTTGTTTACTTTCACCTACTACTGATTAAGATAAAGGAATTCTAGATGTCAAATGAAACCTAATTGTAAAGCATTGTAAATTCTGCGAAGGACATTTTTAGTTGGGACCAAGAATTTTGTTCATATTTTAAATAAAGTACATTTCACATTCTTAGTCTTGGAAAAATAAGTTTCTTTTAAAAATGAAAATATTAATTTACACTGTGTTTCATTTGAATACAAAAACAGAAGCAGACTGTTCAAAATGTATAAAGTTTATTCAAGGACTCAGTTTCCAATTCTTGCAATTTCCTTTTGCATAAAGCTATATAAAGACAGACAAATGCAAATACTAAAGGACTATGAAATGGAAAAAAAAAGCGCTTGTGTTTGGGCAATCAACAGTGAACTTTTTCTATCATTTTTCCACTGTGTAACAATTGCAACCAGTTGCAAGAACTGCTGTAAATAATTATTTTTGAGGGAGTAAATATGCAAACAAATCAGTTCACTATGCTGGTAGTGTTTTTTTCTCTTCTCTATTTGGATAATACTTTTGGAAATAAACTAGAGAACTGCATACTCTCACTTCCCTGTGCCATAATTTTGTTACTCTGTAACTAGTTACTGAAGTTTGATTCAAATAGGAACAGTAATTTTGAATGAACGATGTTGAGATTAACAGCAATTCAAATTGTAGCATCAGCTGATTACACTCTGGTAATTTTAGCATAACTTTTGTTTCTCTACTAACCTCACCTAAAAGAAAAAAAAATAGTGACACGATGGTGCCAGTCATGCTTGAAAAAATGTGCACAACTTCTATACTGGAACAATACTTCTGATGTCAGTGTTGCAGCATAATGAAAAGGAGAATGAAATTTAAGCAATTAAAAGGATCACTTTGGTGACATTGGTGACTTGGATGATGGCAGTTCTGAGGGTACAGAAGACCTCTAGGTTTTGGTACTACTCAGAATCCACCTGTGAAATGAAGCAAGTCCAGAAGATTTATCTCCACAAGAAAGGTGGTAGTTACTGCAGTGCCTAAATGAAGTGCCATCCTACTTAATAGTGTTACCAGCTAGGGGACTGCACCCTGATTTTCCTAGCACTTTAGGGTCAGGTTATTCTTGCCTGGAAAGCCTCAGTTCAATCCCTTGCTGTGAATTAACTGGCAAATCACGTTTGAAAATGTGCCTCCAAAACAAAAGCTTAAGATATATAACTTAGAGTGCTGTGCTTCTACTGCCAGCAGAACAAGCAGATTTTAACTATTTTACAGTATCTGGCTAATATCTAGGGGTTAGATTAGGTGAAGTAGTTGTTTGATACCCCACGGAAGTGGGCATATGTTCCTTGATGTCAGAACAATGGCTGAAATTTCTAAGAACTCAAGTCCCAGTTTTGCTGTTAACACTAGACCTGTAAGACATTGGTGACATTACAGTTCTCCAAGTTCTTTGTAGCAGCAGTTTTTAGGTATCTAGCACAAGCAAGGGCATTTGCTAACCTTTATTTTAGTACTCATACTTTCTATCCAATGAGTAAGCTAAGTCTGCTTGTATTTTGGTTTGTAAAAGCTTGTGCATGGAGCTGGAACCACCTAAATTGACTTTAAAGGAATACTGAAGACAAGTTTCTGTTAAAATGTTAAAGTACGCCTCAGCTGAGGGCTTAGCTGTAGAGACAGACACAGACAAGAAATAGAGCTGTGGAGGTGAACATTTCTCTCCTTACAGCCAACAGCCTTGGACTCTCTCCTGAAGACAGGAGCAAGCGAGTCTAAGCCGGAGAAAAGGGATTTCAGATACGGAAGATGTGTGGCTTCCTGCTTCTCCTTTAGGCAGTGTAACAGCAATTGGAGCACTCTCCAGGTGACATGTGAAACCTTGCTTCACTTGCTTAAGCTCACCTTGAGTGTTTCCTAATTGCACTACTGAAGCTCTTCGAGCATTAATTACTGAGGGCTGCACGCCGCTGCTGAAGGGCAGGTTCAGTTCTGTACATCAGACTCTTGGAGAATTGCAAAGGCAGCCCTTGAAGCAGGGACTGCCCTGGGCTTTGCCACACTAACAGTGGAAAATGTTAACAGGGGACTCTTTCTCAGCTCAGGTTTTTGTGTGTACCTGGGGATCTCATTTGAGTGTTGGTTTTCTTCCCTTGTTCACCAGAGCCGAAGTAGCAAGTTTTTTTAAAATTTAATAGTTATTTTGAATAGTCCTGATTCATCTGTTTTAAGGATGATAATTATTTTTTTCCAAAAGGTAGACATTCATGGTTTACTAACACTATGGGTTAAATTCCTTCTGTAAATAGACACCAAGGCACTGTGCAATAGCTCCTTCCTGGATAGTAAAATCATAAAGTATATACAAAATGGCATCAAAGGAATTAAAAACCCATGAGGTTTAAACAACAGACAACTAAATACAAATCTTGCTACCCAGAGGTGTGCAAACAATTTATTTGTGTTCAGTGCAACACCGTACAGGGGAACGGGTCTGCAGTTGTGTTTCTTACCACGGCCAATAAATGGTTTGTCAGCTCTGGTGAGCATTTACTTTGTATCCAAAGTCCTAATGTAAAAAGTAGTAACAGTTTTACTCTCTCTGTGATGGGAGTCCCACTCTGACAGGATCAGAAATACCAGTCAACAGGCGCAGCAGATGGAAGTGAAATATTCCTCTTAATTGAAATTTGTGGGCTGCATAAATGAATTTTTTCCCACTGCCCAAATAGTTCCTTATGTCAGACAATCTGAAGACACTTTTTTTTTCTTTTTACTAGACCAGCTGGCAAAACAGATTGCCTTGTTGAATTAGCATGTCCTAAAATAAAAAAGGATTTAAATGAATATGATGGTACAGGCAGTAGAACAAACAATTGCTATTATAAAATATAATAACATATTTCTCTGTTGTATAGTGAATGGATTTGAGACACAGAGGCCTTCATGACTTCTGGAGCATTTTGCATTAGTTGTTTTTGCATGAGTCCCAGTAAGAAGCAAATCAGCATATGTGTTGCCAAATTAAAATAGAAAGCTATTAGCAAATTAACATATTTTACACAGAACTTATACAAATACCACATTTTTCTATCTTGTGTTATTGCAAGAACAAAATTGCATAGACCATTTGCTGGCACTTTCTGAATTCTCCAAATAATGCTTTGTCTTACAAATAATTCAAGTAGTTCCCTCAATTTAATTTCACCCACTAATACAGTAAGTGTTTATATGTAGTGAGAGGAAAAACCCACGGATCTCAAAAATATGAACAATGACATAATCATCTGACTGAATAATAGTTCAGCAAGGAAACATATTTGTTTTATTTTTTTATGCTCTCTGTAAGGCTATTTTCCAAGTGTTACTGACAAAACAATGTAATTTGATTCAAGTCGTTCTTCTGAAGTGGAAATGTCATTTGTGCTCTTCTTCCCCTTACACCCTGTATTCCAGAACTGTAGGCGCAGATTTGTTTCCTAAATTGTAAGTGCTTTCTTTTAAAAATTTTGAAGAATATGCTTTCAGTAGCGCTCTTTAGGAGTAATACAAAACTCAGATGCACGAGGGGGTGTGTGGCGTTTTCGGGTGCCTCACTGGCAGACTCGGCTGTATTCTTGGCAAGTGGAGCCCACGCCGGCCACTGACAAGTAGAGCTTTCCATCTGGACACACGCAGATTTCATAGAGCCCCTGAGAAATCCCAGATCCACCCCTTGCACCCTCGGGCAGCTTGGGCAGTCGCACAGTTTCAGCATCGAGCAAAAGCTGTGTGGGGAAAAAGCAGGACAAATGGGGTTGTTAGAGCTAATAAAGTAATAACATACCATGAGACAAGCTGAATTTGTCCAGGCAGAGGCTTAAGAATGGCCTTTTACACAGGGCTTATTATATAGAAAGTTTCTCTGAGCCCTAGGCTCTTGGCAGACATAAACACAGGACAAGAATAAGCTGGTGCTGACTCTCTTCTTAGCAGAGAACTGGCGAAGTTCAACGAGGCCGAGTGCAGTGTCCTGCTCCTGTGTTGGGGCAATCCCCCAAATGGACACAAGCTGGGTGATGAATGGATTGAGAAAAGCCCTGAGGAGAAAGATGAATGAAAACCTATGTATGAGCCAGCAATGCACACTCACAGCCCAGAAAATCCATCACATGCTGAGCTGCATCCAAAGCAGTGGTCAGGGGAAAGAAACGGAGGGGATTCTGCCCCTCTGCTCTTCTCTGCTGAGACCCCACCTGCAGTGCTGCATCAGCTCTGGACCTCCACATAAGACATGGACATGTTGAAATGAGTTCAGAGGAGGGACACGAAGATGCTCAGAGGGATGGAGCACCTCACCTATGAGGAAAGGCTAGAGAAAATTAGGATTGTTCAGTCTGGAGAAGAGAAGGTTCTGGGAACATCTCATTGCAGCCTTCCAGTATTTAAAAGGGGCCTACAAGAAAGCTGAGAAGTATCCCCTTTATGGGGAATACTTTTTAAATTGAAAGAAGATGGATTTAGATTAGGTATAAAAAAGAATTTCTTTCAATGCTGAGGCACAGGAACAGGCTGCCCAGAGAAACTGTGGATGACCCATCCCTGGAAGTGTTTAAGGCCAGATTGGATTGAGCCCTGAGCAGCCTGGTCTAGTTGAAGGTGTCCCCATCCATGGCAGGGGAAGTTGGACCAGGATGATCTTTAAGGTGCCTTCCAGCACAATTCAGCCCATGATTCTAAGGCGAGTGACAAAGTCCTTGTCCACACACAGCACAGCAGGACACAAGCACGGCTGCTGGACCCGGGTCTGTCACAGCCTGAGCACTGAGGGTCACCGTGGAACCAGCTGGTTTAGGATGGACATGGGCTGTAGTTCCTCTGTGGAAGAACTGGCACAGTACACCCTTGCAGAGGGGATAAATAGGCTGCTACATTTTGCCTCCTGTTGATTCTGCAGAGGTTCATTCCTAAATTTTGCCACTCTGAGGCGGCACCTGCTTCTGAGCCAAAGTGCCTGGGAATCACTGTGCTAGTGGGGAGCTATGCAGTATCCAAGTTTTATTAGAAAGCATCTCTCTAAGCTAATACAACATTATGTCTCTTGGTAGTATTATTTACATTTAATAAAAATAAATAATAAATAAAAAAAATAAAAACAAATAAAAGTTTTATTATTGGCACTAATAATTTTAATATCCTGCCACCTAAAACCTGAGGAATTAAATTGATAGAACTTGAAAAAAAGACTTGAAGTTATAGTCACACAGAAGATCAACCACAGTTATGGAAAAGAAGGGCTTGTACTCACCACGCCATCACTGCTGTGTAGTTTGATATCCATCTGGGAAAGAGCTTCAATATTCCCAGCTTGTGCTTTGATATTAATTCCTCGTGGAGCATCCATGCTCAAAGATCGAGTTGGTGATTCCAGCCTAAAAGCAGGAACAGGAAATCGGACAATAACACAATCTCGTAAGTTCCTTTATTTTAGAACAATATGTAAACATTGAACAAGCTCTTGAAAGCTCTTGCCTGAAGTCATATAAAAGAGGCACCTTCCTTCAGGCAGACTTGAAAATGGAGGCAGCTATGTCAAAAACCAACAAAGCATCCCAAATGAAAAATACAGATTAATTAATAATACAAATGCAAGGTATTATTTCATACGTAACTGCAGATGATTTCAGTGTAACAGTAATTTAATCTATTAACCTGAAATCCAGTTTTACATTAGTTAAGTTTCTTTTAATTTTTGACATAATAAGACATTGAAATGAATACAATTAATACAATCTGGAACTTTTTCTAATCAATGAGATTTTTGACACTGCAATTAGTTGGACCAAGATTTCACTCAGTGTGTGTGCACGTGTCTGTGTGTTGTTTAACCAGATGATATCTGAAACTTAAAAACTGTTAATTTGAAATAAAAATTATACAGTATAACAAACAGGGAGTTGCAAACCCTACAGTGCCACAAGATGGCAGGAAGGCACTGTAGTATCTGAGTAATCACCTCGTCGGATCAGCTGTGCAGGAATAATGATTTTTATTTTTCAAAGAGATAAGGCTTTGTTCAGAATTTTGGTATCATTTCCATAGAAAGTAACAGGGATAGAAGTATAATTAAAAATCATGAGAAGGAAGGAAAAAGCCCAATCCTAGCAACAAGCTAGTGACTATGGTGCTTCTTTTGACCATTACCTAGAACTGTTTCATGTGGAGGCACTGCAGGATCAGAATTGTTACCTATTAGGTTTTGATCATGAATATTCACTCACCCTTTCTGATGACACCAGCCAACACTAAACAGGTGAATATGAAGGCTAGAAAAAGTGAGACAACTTCTGGTCCCTCTTTACATCTGTGCTAGCTTTCCTATTCCCAGGACACATACCAAAGCATGTGGGTTGCACCCACACTGCAGAACACAAACACACTTGTTCCCAAGCCTGCATGTTCTCACCCACTGTGTTTTCAGAAATGTAGAGGGGTGTGTGTGTGTGTGTGTGTGTGTGTGCACTCCCAGCAGATGCTGTGCTGGCTCCACAGCTGCCAGTCCGGGCAAGTGGAAGCTGTGCCCAAGCAGGTCCTTTACTGGGAATACATTGTGTAGTGAGTCCAGACTTTGCCAATCACTGGCAGGAATTAACTGTCTAATTTACTGAGACTCTTTCAATTCTTCCTTTTCTTTTGGTTTTCCAGTTACTTCATTAAAACCCGAAGGTAAAAGAAGACAGTTTGTGCTTGTGAGAAAGTTTGGTTATATCTTCGAATCCTGAAGAAGCTAAACCCAGCTGATAACTTAAAACCTAAGTCCATGATATCTAAGCCACAGTCACTGAAACTTCATTTTTTATCCTTAAATCTGAAAATAGCTCAAGCAATATTGGCTTATCTCTGCTGGCCAGAGATAGCAGAAGATTCTATGTTCTCTGATCTTCAAAGGTCTCTTCCAACCCAAACCAATCTATGACTATGTTTCTATGATCTGCCTCTCGCTGACACCTCCTCGGTTTATCACCTTCAATTAGTTTAAACTCCAGACTGAAAAATAAATAAAATACTAACAATGAGTAAATGCATCATGGCCCCATATTGAGACCATATCCACAAAAAAATTTGATGCCTCATTCCATGAATCGAGATAGCACAAACTTCTGTCACAATCATGCTGTGTACCAGGGCATGAATATGAGTTTGTTCTGCATCAGACAACCAATACAATATTAGCAATCTTTACTAAGCAGTGTTTTGAATTTAACAACTTTTGTATGAATTTTCACTTTAGATCTCTAGATTTATACCTCTATGAAATAGAAAATCAGTTCTTCCCTGAGTGATTAATGTGGGAGGTCTGCTCCATGGGAATATTTTTCAGTGCACATTCATATGCATTATATACTGAAAAATTAAACAAAGTTTCTATTTTCAATCTTTTAAATTTAATATATTTCATAAGTTAGTGTCAAGGTGGTTAAATATAACTTTGCCATAGTTTGTCTTGACAAAAAGCTATAAACTCCGAAATAGCTCGTGTTCTTTGTAAAGTATTTCACTTACATAAGCAAACTATATGTAGGCATAAATTTTTATTTTAAACTCTATTAAACATCACAAGACAGCAGACTGGGACAAATTTCTGAGAGTATATCAGACCTGGAGTTTAAAAAAGCCATCAAACACAAGAGAAATATTTCTTACTTTCTACAAAAATTAATGCTGGCACGAAGCCTACAGACTTCGGAAGCACTTAGATTTACGATATGACATATACATAATTTAAATTACATTGCAGAATTACATTTGCTATATTAATCACAAAGCTAAATTTCTGCTGTTTATACAGGTCCTATTTCTAGATTAACAGCCTAGATTTGTCTAATTAAGCACGTCATTGAAGCTTCCTGGCAATGCAAACTGTCGTGAATCAGTGACGTGAACTGTAATTTGTGAGATTCCAGCTAAGGCAAGAGTCAATAACACTAATGATGCATTTCTTCATACAGAATTTAAAGGTTCAGTGTCTGAAGTCCAGATGTACTCAAAGGGAAATGGACACCTAGTGTAGAAATAACCTGAGTTGAACCTTGACTTTGAATGTCCCTTCTCAGTCCCCACATTGATGTGCATCCCTCAGGTATCCTGGCACAACAAGAACTCCGCTTGTTTGCAAATGATGGAGAGTGCTTGGAGTGTAAGAGGGAAGAAAGTAGTTGTCTTGGAGTTTTTGGTCACTTTATAGTGTTTGAATTTGTGCATTAGAATGATGAGGGAATATATTGTTACCAGTCACTGTATCTTTTTTTAAAACTTACAGACACATAAATTACATTTAAGAGGATGAAGTGAATGATCTTTATTATCTAGGGGAATTAATCTATGTAATCTACTGTCCTAAATGTGACATCTGACACAGCCTCTATCTCACTTGGGAAGATGGATTCTATACTTACAAGTAGCTTCTAGGTACTGCGGTAGCTGCCAGGGTCAATTAGCAAGGGGTGTGGTGCAAGAGAAATTGATCTGGGCAGCACAACATTTGATGCCAAGGACGTGAGAGCCTATTATATGTGTCCTGAGGAGTACTCTGGACTAGCTGCTGCAAATTGGATGCCCAGAAAGGTTGGAGCACATTAGCTGTTCTCCGAGAGATCACAGCTTTCAGATTAGTTTAACACAAATGCCACCTTGTCCATGTACCCCAAACTGTTCCACAATGAAAATCAAGATGTGGAGAGCTCAGGCCATTGGGAGATTTCCTTCAGAAGCATGTTTCTAAAGACACTCAAGTAGACATGCCCAAAGATTATAAGGCAATACAAGCCTCAGCTGGGCCCACTTGCAGAATAGTTATTTTGCCCTCCTCCCTTTCACCCCGACCCCTGCAGCCTGAAAAGCTGCACCATGTCAGCTTATGAAAGGCAGAGAACAGTGAGGGAATAGGTGGTACTATCCCTGGCAATATTTTACAGCTGTCATTAGCTGGATATTGGTTCTCCATACTCCACTGCAACTAGAGAAATTTATTACAGCAAAGACAATATTTTCATTGCTGTCTTCTTACTTGTTGGTAAGAGTTCCAGGAGTCAACTATACTGGCTTGTATGGCTGCCAAAAAATTTGGTGCTGAACTGTGCTAAATAAATCATGAAGGACTATGTGAAAAATATTCTGAGGGAACCTCGACAGCATCCAGGCTCCAGATCTGAAATCATCCCAACAACCTAAAGGCTTGGAGGTTTCCCTTTTCCTATGAGCATGTTGCTAAATTGTGGAGATGCCAGATGCCCAGAAATTGCTCAGTTGGCTGTTAGGGAGGATGTGCGGGCAGTGAGAGCCTGCAGCAGTTCTGGTAAAGAAGCAGATGGCACTGCCTGTGCATGCTGCAGGAATTCTGATCTCTTTTTTCATCCTGGTCTGGCAGGAGTCAGAAGGATACCTTACACATCTTGTAAGTACCACAAGGCACTAGAAAGCTAGTTCTAGGACTGAAGAAAGAGTACCACAAGTTTCCTACTGCAGTTTGGGGTTGCTTGACCCTTAGAGCAGGACAGAGGAACCAGCTTGCTCTTGGGTAATTGTTTATCCTTTCCTGTTGGCCTTTTTGACTGTTCCAGCTCATGAGTCACCATCTCTCCTAAATTCAATGGGAAGAGAATTCTGTGGTATGACCTTAGACAGAAGTTGCCCATCTGTATGCATTCTTCCCAGCACCTATCTAAGGAAGATCAGGGTTACAGTAACTGGACTGAACAGGTCCAGGATCAACACTACCTCTAATATTGTAGTGCACTCAAAAACTGTGCATCCCTGGAAGTGTCCAAGGTCAGGCTAGACAGGGCCTTGAGCAACCTGGTCTAGGGGAAGGTGTACCTGCTCACAACAGGGCGTTAGAACTAGATGACCTTTAAGGACCCTTGCAATCCAAACCATTTTGTGATTCTATAATCAAAACATCTTTTTCACATCATCAGGTAAGGAAGAGACCCTCATATGCCCTTGGTGTACAAAAAGAAATCCTGCCATGAACACCTGCCCCAGAGTTCACCTGACTTTGTAAAGGGCAAAGGGGAACAGAAATTAAAGTATGCAATGACTAGAGGTCATGGAGCAAAGGATGAATAGGAAAGGCTAGAAATAAAGAGAGAAAAAAGAAAACACATGAGGGGAAAAGGGGAAAAAGGAAAATCTTTAACCTGTCAAGGAACTAATGTTTTGAAAGGCAAAAAAGGAACCTAGAGGATTCTGTAGACTTAATTGGCCTCAGTTCTCTGTAGATGTCTGCTTTGAGCCCTGCTTTTTGAATGCACGTTAACCTTTAAAAGGCAATAGGAGTATATTGATTTTTTGATTAGTCTGAAAGCAGTCTAATTCCCCAGCCATGCAGCTAGACATTGTAAGAGAGTAAACCATAGGCAGAGCATGCACT